TTTTCAGTTTTTCAAGGACTTAAAAGATAAACATTTTATTAGGGGTAATTTTCGCTCTTCTCAAAAAGTCGTCTTTCACAACCGTTTCAAATTAGTATTAGAACCAATCAATCATACGGTCGCTCTTAAACTCTAACAATTTTCGCTTAGGCCTATCTTACCAAATCATAGTTAAGTTTTCATTTTAGGAAGACGAGACTGCCTATTTTGGTCCATTATCTCTTGCTACAATAACATGCAGACGAGCTATTTTATCGATCGAAGCTATTTACAGCTCCACTGTGAAACCGTGATCGGCAACTAGCTCTCCGCCTACGGGTTATCTCACTTCAACTGTAACTTTGCGAATGGGGCTTGTTGTCACTTCCATTGGGGCCAGCAGATCCTGCCTTCTTCCATACTATCGCCTGTGTGCCTAAATCGGCTAATATATCAACCGTTGTCGTCAAGCTCAACTAACGGTAGGTCCAGGAAATACGATTTTAAGAGGATCGGACCAAAAAGGCTGAGAGTTTTTAATGGAAGCAAATAAGGATGTGGTTGGTGTCGTGTAGGCTGCCTTTACAAGCCAATCATATGGGCATTTGGTATTTTGGGGCAGAGTCTGAGTAAATCAGAATATAACCTGTTACAGTATCCAGACCTTGATTGCATATTTACGCGGGATTCTCGATGAAGCTGATAGGTGTTTGTACTTCCATGACGACATTCACGGACCGAGAGTTTGTAAAAGTGGTTGTGACTCGGTGAATGCCGCTTAAGGCCTGTCAGTACAACGTTGGGTCCAGCGGTGGTGAGCTATATGTAAGTATGGATCTCGTCCATGAGTTCCTTGAGGGTCTAAAAGGTGGATATCGTTCCAGCATGTGGCTGTGAGTTCTAGCTGTGATGTTCAGGCGGAGGCATCTCATTGGTGAGTAAACTGACGCAGCGTAATTTAGAGCCGGCCGCCAATTGCCTTGTATGTAGCCAACAATGTTTCTTTGCTGTTAACATCTGCGAAAAGGCGATCAATGTCATGCCGTAGCTAGATCAGTAAAACTTCTTCTGGCGGCTGAGGAAGTTTCGCTATGTAGAAGGTAAACGGTACGCTGGTATTGTTGTATGGCTTTGGAGGGGTGTGCTCTGGTGAAGTCTCTGGCTTATACTACGGGAGTGTGATTTGAAAAATTTGTCTGAATCAAGACGATCGTCCTCGTCAACTATTCACTATTCTTCTTACACCTTAGAATAAAAATTTTCTCGGGAGCCTAGCTCACTTGCATATTTTTATTTTTTTTGTTTGATTTTCTACCAGATCACCAGTATTCTTTAAAAGAGCTTCAAATTATAGTCCAGTGGAATAGTATGGACATTTGAGCATCAAATCAGATAAGAATGCAAAAAAGCAATAAAATACTGATAATTATTCCTTTCGAATCACTGCAAATATTCCCTTTAAAGTTTTAAATATGAATCCTTAAGATTGGATAGGATAGATACACAAAATAAGCAAAGTTTTCATGTGAGATTAAAAATGGTATGGTAACTTCGGTATAACTTGTAACAAAAACTTCAACTTCAAGAATTTGACAAAAAAAAAATTCTGGGGCACTCTTATATGTACATATGTACAGGACTCAATGCCTAAGCAGTGAAGTAAAAGTAAACAGCTCATCAAATCAGCCCTTCGTTGTTGAAAAAGCCGCAAACAGAAAACAAAAGCGAGGAAATAAATACCTACCCATCCTTTTGTTGCAAGGATTAAATACACGGCATATTCACTTGAACAAATAGCAGCTGATGTGAAGCTCATCAACGCTTTTTGCCATTCTCGCACGCATACTCACACAATGAAAGCACTCGTAGTGCAAAAATCAATTGCTCCCGTACACGTCGCTTTAGTACGCCGTGAAATTGGAATATTTACAGCATTTTCAACCGTTATTTATTCAGTAGGGCAGTCGCTCAAACGTCATTTTAGATTTTCGCTATTAAAAATTCTGGAAAGGCCTTGAAATTTAGATTATAAGTGAAAGTTGCGTAGGTTTCTTACTCAGAGTAATACATCATAGCTCTCAGCGAGTGCCGGGTACATCCTTCCAACCGGGCTTATTTTAGATTGTCATTGTAGTAATTTTTACTGGCTCAGATGAAGTTGAACAGGTACCATAGTTCCACTACTGCAATCTGCGACCAGATTTCTTGTTCAACAAATGAAATATGATGGGTGAAAATTCTTAAGTCTAACCCACAAAGGAATTCTATCGTAGGGGCGACACACTAAACTAGATAGCGGTTTGAGCCAAATGGCTAGCATCCGGCCCGTAACACCATTCATTCAGAACCCGTTATACCCTCTTTAGCTATCGCTAGGCATACTTGTTGTTCAAGATCTAGCTCTGGGAAGGGAATCCGTGTTTCTCAAGCAAACACTTCATGCCATCAACGTAAAAGTATTTATAAAATAAAAACAAAAAATCTATGCCAATAAGGAATATCAGCAAAACTAAATTTTACAAAAAATTTTGTAAACAACTTTTCTGGTTAATTTCTCATTTTAATTTTTTAGAGACCTTTACGTTGGTAGCTTGAAGCGTTTGCCTGAGAAGACCCCCCTAGTAAAATTTCCCAAAGAATAATTTTCTAGAACATATCAATCTTCTAACGAACTTCCAAATTTGCTATTTGCGGGGTTTTTCGAAGGGTCGAAATGGCCTTTTCAGGCGGGAGATAATGGGTTAAAATGTTCTACGAAAATATTTCCCATGCAATTGTTAGTTTCGCTCAGACATTTATTTTAACCCACTCTTCCACTTTTTTGAAAAATACTTAGGCCGGGATATAAAAACTTTAGTAGGCCATAAAATAAAAATACGAGCTAACTTTTTTAAATCCATCGAGTGGTTTATTAGTGGATATGTATACTTTCGGAAAATAGTAACAAACCTCGGGCTGGTTTGAATTGTCATAAAATTGTCGCACAGAGAAATCAGTGCAGTGCTGTTTGTGCTGGTGCAGAACTCAACAATGCTATATTCAGTAGACTTAAAAGATCAGTATAGGCAGTTTAGCGTGGTAAGTGTTGAACAGTAGTGGGACTCTGAAAGCATGCAGCTTCTAGTCACATGTCCATCACATTGGCACAACTTGTTAAAATGTCCCGGTCTTATTTATTTTTCCCGACACTGTATTTCCCTCGTTTAAGCAATGCGAACTTGTAAATGAGAGCTACAAACACACTAGAATTTTAATTAAATTACACGGTTACATTGCCTTTCCTTACCTTAACAAATTTAACGCAAACAATTTACTTTGGTTTTCATACATTTTATTATTCTTTAATCAATAATAACAATTCGTACATTGCTGTACGATTTTGTATAAACAATTTCTGGTCAACATTTGTAAAATACATGCGTTAGAAAGTTTTCTTGTATAATTTATTTATTTACGCACTTTTTGAAATTGTAAATTTATTACAATTAGTTTGTAAAGTTTTTAAAAGGAGTTCAATTTTAATAAATTTTTAATTTAAATATTATAGTAAGATTTTCAAAAAACGGAATCAATTAAATTGACACAAAAATATCATCTTTTAAAAAGTTTACATTTATCTTTTGCATAAGCTATTTGACTACATACAAAAATAAAACAACTTTTTTTAATCCATTAAACTGAAGAGAAACAAACTAATATTTTTCCTTTTTACTTTTCAACAAAATTATAAAAACTAAAGATTGACTAAAATGTATATGCGCACACTTTCACCGCTGGTTAAGTAATATGGATCAAGCGCTATTGCATACATTTTTCAAAATTTCTGCAACAACTTTTAAACCAGAATTGCTTCTAGAAATGTTTTCCATTATATTTTTACTTTTGTTTGGCGAAATTCAACTTTATCCACCTTTAGCGCGCATGTAGAGCAATAAATGTCCCTAACAAATTTTTATAAATTTTTTTTTTTTCTGAAAATATATTTCATATTTTACTCTAATCCTTACTAATTCTTCTTTTCATGCATATGGTACATACAAATATAAAAAATTCTCTCTCAAATCAAATATCTTTAGTTCCGTTTTTTTTTTTTTTAGTAAATCACGAACACATTTGTCATAATTTCTTTTACATAACCTAATGCTAACCACTTCCGACTGCTTCTGTTTACATTTGTACAATATTTATGCATTTGTGTATGTACATATGTATGTATGTACAGCAATTTCTTCTTTACAATCTGGCTTATATACAAATTAAATTTAATATTTAACAAACTTTCTCGCTTTTTGCTATAACCTTTTGTTTGCTGGCCTTTTAAGTGTTTTTGTTTTTGTTTTATTTTTTATTATTAGTTTTCACACAAAATACGTGAATAACTATCTATGTATGTACGTACTATATGTATGTATAGGCCCTTATATACAGATTCATTGTTCAACTGAGCGGATGCATAAAATGTCTTCTTGTTGTTCTTCTTTAAATTACTATTAACTATTTACAGTGTCAACAAGACTTACATACATACTAACGTATAACATTATTAAATTTATATTTCGGTTACAAAAAAATATTTCATGCTTCTCGATTTATGCCGTTATGCTGGATATTAACTCGATTCATGTTTTGATGGTTGGTTGTTGTATTTTGGTCTGCTTTTGTTATTGCGAAATTTGCAACAAATCAAGCATGTGCAAACATAAATACAAATATGTAGTAGTTTGTTTTTTTTTTGTTAAATTTAACAAAGTTTGATTCGTCGTATTTTTTCGAATATTTCCTTTTGTTTTATTTTACCTTATATTTGCATATAAAATCTATTTATAATTTATTTTGGACTCTTTTGTTCGTTCTATAATTATTGTTGTTAAAATTACAGCTATAATAAGGTATATAAATGTATAGTTGTTTTGAAACTATAAATCTTTTCTTTTGTTTTTTTTTTTTTGTTTGATTGATTGATTGGCAAAGCCACCCATATTATTTATGTATAAGTATATATTAATTTTTTTATCGTTGCGTTTTTTTGTTTTTTTTTGCACCATCTACCCCCCAGTACCCAAACTTAAACTATTATTTCATACGGTTAATGACTAAATCCGCTACTACTTGCAGACCCTTTTGGTATGGCGACTCGGTCAGCTCCTGTGACAATCGTATCGCTTCGATGCAATGCTTTTTGGCCAAGAAGCGCGTCTGTTCGAGTCCGTGCGATTTGTGGACTAGTTCGAAGGCACGTTCAACATCGCCAGGTTCGCTGAATCGCCGCATTATCATCGGATTTAGCTCGGGGTACTGCAAAATGGAAAAGAACAAAATATTGAATGTTATCGAAGACATTATTTAATGCCGGAAAAGTTTAAGCGGTGCTCCATATAGACAAATTCTAATTCTCACTCTGAAAAAAAAAAATTGATTTAGTACCACTATGCAACATTTTCAGCCTCATTACTTAAGTAAACACCCTTAAGTTCTAGATTAACTAATATTGTAGAACGCCTTGGCCTAGAGCTCAAAAAACAATCAAAAGATTACAATAAAAGGCAAAAAAGTAAACCTAAGCTTAGTTATTTAATTTTAATTTTTTTTTTACAAAAAAAACATGCAAATCCAAGTTTCAAACTTAGTGCAATATTTAAAAAAAAAAATCAACAAATTTCTGTAAAAATGTGTGCAAAATGAAGTGGCGGTGTGAAGAAGCTATAACCACGGCTGATTTTAGGAATCTCTTTTTTAAGGTATTGCTAATTTTCTAGATATAAAAAAAAATCGTCGGACATGCTTTGTTTACAACTTGCTTTTTATTATACTAAAATTTTGTAGGCAATAAGATTGCATACCGAAAAATATTTTTAAAATTCATATTAAAAATTTCCACATTTTAATAAAAAAAAATTGGATATTTCTCTATTTTAAACTTTGATTTGCATATATGGTCTTGGTTAAAGTATAAACAATATTTTTTATAAGAAGCTTGAAAAACATTGCGAATATTAAAAAAAAAACCAACACATGAACACTTGCTCGAGTATTCCTCGCGTAATCTTTGTCGCCTACTACAGAGCTCATCTTTTTCTATTTTGCATTTCAAATATTGGTATAAGGAGTAATAATTCAAAAAGGATGTAATTTTGATTTGATCAAGAGACTTTGCAGCTACCGAAAAGCTCTTTTAACGAGAAAGCCACTGCCAGCAAAAAATAAGCAATTAACCTTCAAGGTTAAAGCTCAATTTAATGCAGCGGTCTCAAACAGTAATTAATTGCTTGCTATTCAATTGGCTAATGAGTTTTCCAGTAACCTCAACAGCAAAAAAGATTCACTAGAACACAAAGGAAGAGCAAAGAAATGTCATTTCATTAAAGACAAACTATTGGCAAATTAACAATGAAATCATCCACAAAAAGGTTTGAGGCAATCTAAAGCGCCCAAAACTAAGCCATTTTCAAATGCTTATCGGTGGCAAAAGGACCAATCGCGCTGTGACATTCTCGTTGCGGCGTAATTGTCGATATAATCGCATAATCTGTAAGTAAGTAAGTAGTGTCGCCTTCAAGAAATCACTGCACTATTTCAGTCCGATTGAGTGACACCATACAAGTTGTTAAAACGCCATTGCAACGGCGATGCGCTAGTTGCCGCCGTCTTATAACAGTCGCATAGCAGTTAGTTGTCACAGCTGTTAATATACATATGACTGTCAACAGCTGGTACGCAGGCAACTCGATTGACGTACAAAACATTAAATACGTACTTAGTTACCGCTTGTCGCTGCTCCTGATACTAGCAAATCATTTTGCACTCCTTACACCCACTTACCGGCTGGCATATGTATATGTACGGTTTATTGTGCGCATCACGTACGCACAAATAGCTTCGCATATCAATTTTCGCAAAACTATTCAATTTGACTGCACTGCGTGGTGATGTGCAATGAAGAGTGGCACATTTGACTGCATAGATGGCAGGAAAGGGAGGACTTTGCGGTTACGGAATAATGGGGTGGAGTGGCGCGTGTGGGGGTTGGAGATTGGCAGCGTAGTACTTAGTGCAAAATTCCATAATATGTGATGTCAGCTGACATTATGATGCACTGTGCGATGCGCTGCCAATTACTATCGTTTACGGATTTGCATAGAATCGATTTGATTCGTTTATATTTTATTTCAATTTGAGTCATTCCTATTTTAATGTTTAATAATTTCTTATAACTTGGATTGCATTTGAAATACTGCAAGAGCATGTTGGAAAATTGTTGGAATGAAGCCATTTTAATAGAATTGAATTAAAGCAGAAGGCGTAACGAGTATTCATTTGATAAAAAAATGCAAGAGTTTTAGAAAACTCTTGGGCTGGGTCGTTGGAGATGTTTTCTGTAACAAACTATGCGTTTATCACAGGTTACGATTTTTGCAGCTCATTTCACAGAAAATTCTGCAGCTGGTTATGTGCCAACTCTTGGTTGTGACGGGGGTCCTGGCTGTGCCTTGTTTATTATTAACCCCTGCGGTACGTTGTAATATCGTTTCCAACTACAATTACCATAGCTGCTTGAAGAATGAAGAGATGGCATCATCTCAGCTTTGGCAAGACTAAATAAGGTTTAGACATGTTGGATCATAATTCATCAACACTCCCTAGAAACCCTCTGGCGTGGAATTTAGCTGCCTGCGAAACTTCAAATAGGGCTTCTCAACAACTTCGTATTGAGTTGCGAAAAATTTTGAAAAATCCTTCTAAGAAAATCTCAAAAAAGATCTTGTAAAATGTACCATAAATGCAAGCCAATATCCAAAAAGGCTGCGAAAATTCCCCAACAAAATTAAAATAAATTTCGGAAATTTTTAAGAAAATTAAACAATAAATATAACGTTCCCTAAAGGCAACGAAAAAATATTCCAAAAAATTATAAATATAAAAACCCAGAGAAGTTCTTAAACAACTTCAACAAATTCCGAAATATACCCGAAATTTCCGAAAGTAAACGAAAAGTTTCGAAAAGTCCAAAAAAAAACTGTACATACTTTTAAAAATCTCGCCAAAAATATCGTAAACCAGAATCATTACATTTTTTAATCAAATACGGAAAATAATATGTCCTGAAGAAATATCTCAAAAAATCTTCAAAGAAATCGGAAAAATTTCTGGAAAAAATTAGGACATATTGCGAAGAAATTGCGAAGATTCTAAAAAATCCCGATGGATTCCGAAAAAGTGCCGGAGTAATTTCAAAAATTTTAGAAAATAACGAGAAAAATCTAGAGAGATCTCGAGAACTGCCGCAAAAATCAATGGAGAAATCCCACAGATTTCTAAGAAAATTTAAAATATCCTTAAGGGTCCGGAAAAGTAAAGAAGATATACGGTCTATCCCAAAAGATCGTTGGAGCTCTTGAAAAATCACAAATCGTTTCTATTTCTGAAAGATACCTAAAATTTTTTTTAGAAAATCTCCTAAAACCAGAATTATCACAAGTTACAGGTATTTCACTTTGTAACTATCAAAGCATATATAAATGAAATATCCTAAAATCATGAAAAAAATACTGAAAAGCACCGAAAAATCACAAAAAACCAGAATTATCACAAGTTACAGGTATTTCACTTTGTAACTATCAAAGCCTATATAAATAAAATATCCTAAAATCATGAAAAAAATACTGAAAAGCACCGAAAAATCACAAAAAAATTTCGAAAAATATGCGCTACAGTTACAGAGAATTCTTATTGTCTTCAAAATGTCATAAAATTTGTTTCACTATATCGGTTTGACTTCCCGAAAAAAAATATATAACTTTTAAAAAGTATACTTAAATTCACTGTAGTATAGCTTTACCCTCTAACCGTCACTGTTATGAACTTGGTACTGCTAGTTAAGAAGTCCTTCAACAAAAAATTGCTTGCTAAATTTTTAACAAAAAGTGGTGATTTTGACCCGGTTAAAACAAAAAGATGATGAATTCTAGCAAAATGCTGATCATTTAATTTTTTATAATAACCCTACTACCAATCCTTTAACAAGTAAAGTGCATATTAAAAATATTCCCGTAACGCTTCGATGCAATAACGATTGCCAAACTAAACACAACTCGAAACAAATTATAAATTAAAGTATACACTTAACGCTCAATGAAGGTCAGCAAAACAAATTTAAACATGGAAGGCCATAAATCTCTACAATCGCATCGAGCAATCGAGCGAGTATAATAAATGCATTAAAGTGTAATACAGCTCAAAAATAAACAATCAATATGCTTCAGACAGCTGCAGCTAGAGAACATAAGGAAGCGTTTAATGGCGAGCATGAATGCATCTAAAATTGCATAAGTAAGCGCTTATGTAGAGATTTATTTGACTAGAAGAAACATTAACATGTAATTTGTCTTGACATTTAGGCATTGCAAAGTGACTTTTACAAAAAGCGTTTAAAGATGCATACATATGGCGGCATTGAGTAGTGAATCAATGCTGTTGACGTTATTCGGAAAAAAATCAGAATACTTTTTTTACTTTTCAAGCAAGTCAAAATTATTTCATGTGTGTGTTTGGAGGAGGAATACGGAAGTGTCGAGTTGAATTTAAATAACATGGAGCCTATTAATCAGACACTTCAAGTCGAAAGAATGGAAAAAGAAAAAAAATGTCTCTATAACCTTCAGCTTTTGAACATTTAAGTATATAAAAAGTTGCGGTTTTTCCACAGAAATTATATAAAATTTATTATATTTTAAGACTAGCGCCAAAATGTTTCGGAAAAACATTAAGAATTAGGTGAACTAAACTAATTTGAAAGTACCTGAATTTTTGTGTACATCTTTTAAGCTTAAACTATTCCATCTGAGATGATTTAAAAAAAAAATATAAAATATTTTTACAAACTAGTTTTTTTTATAAATAACTAAATTTTTTAGGTATTTTCAAAATTTTCTAAAATTGTCGCAAGCCTTAAAATATAACTTTTATAATTCCGATAGAAAAACCGTACCGATGTTTTTTTTTTCTTTGTGTGCAGAGTAAAGCACCCTAATGTGCATACCTACATAAGTTTAATTACAAAAATCAGCCTTACCTTTTCGCATGCGAAGAGCACCGGCGCCGTGGCGAGTCCCAATTTTAGATCCGCAGCCGTTGGTTTACCCATTGTTTCGGCGGAGGAGACAAAGTCCAACATGTCGTCGACCAGCTGAAACGCTAAGCCCACATTGCGGCCATATTGGAATGCCAATTCGGTGATGTTTTCATCAGCTTCAGCGATTACGGCCGTCTGCGGGTAACACAAATGAAAATGGTTTAGAAAAAAAAAATAGGACACAAAAGAGAGAGCAGAAGAAAAGCATTATTGCTTAGGCGTTGAGAAACCTAAGGGGAAATGTTAAAATTTCATATATTACAATGGTGAAAAATAACAAAAATTAAGAGAAGTATCATAAGCAACTTAATTAAAATAAGTACTAAAAACTCCAAAAAGGTAAAAAGAAAATAATTGTAAAAAATTAACTTAAGAAAATAATCGCTTACGTACTTTAAACAACTAATATCGTGTCAGGGGGGGACGAAAACGCATATGCAGCATTGAAAAAAAAAGTATACCAAAGTGAACAAAACACTAAAATGGCATTCAATTTGGCTCGTCGTGGGTTTTTGTGCATTTTTTTTCTTTTCGTTTGGTAGCTGGCGCACGCATCACTGCATCGAAGGCATTTTCTTTGCTTGTACTCGTACCATTGCATATCAAGCACTTGCCCAAGCGTAGGCTCATTCCGTCGATAAGTCAATCAGTCATATGCGCTGTGTCGTCGATGTTTTGCAAAACCGCTTATCTAACGGCACTCAAATTTTACAGTAAAGCGAAAAAACGGTTTATTCTTTGAAGGCATTGCCTTGATAGGCGGTATTTTCTCTAGCTATTATTTTACAAATCTGTTGTTTTACTAACGATTTAACCATTTTTATGCATAAATCTCGATGCCTGGAGTTCAGTGTTAACAAATCTCATTTTTGCCACAACCACGATTTAGGCGGTTTTGCAACTGGCCGATGGGCAGTTTTGCAATAACATCGACGATATATATATATGAATATATTATATATATACATATATTATTTATATTATATACCTATTATGTGTGTACATATGAATTAGGGTGTTCCTTAAAATATTAACATCTAAATTTTTATGGGGCACCCCTATATTTCCTTGTAGGTACAAAATATAGACTTCCAATTTCAACAATTAAAAAAAAAATTAGGGCTCGCTACCACAAATTGAAAAAAATTGTATCTAATAAATTTGAAATATCATTGAATACTATTTACATATATCCATTTATCCATCGCCAAATGGATTCACCATGAAATTTTAAGCTCCAAAGACGGTCATTGGTTTAAGCTTTTCGGAATGAGTGCGGCATTTTTCAAACTCATGTCTATTATAGACTGCTTGAGCACAAACGCATTTCTTAATTTTTTGTGGGCAACTTTTGAATCTTTTTTTTTAGATAAATGTTATTTTTTCGTTTTTCGGTTTTTCGGGATCCATACTTTGTTGCAAAGACAATTAAAAAAGGCGTAAAAAGTCAGCATTTATTTTGATCGGACCAAAATTCACTAAGCTTTTTCGGGATCCATACTTTGTTGCAAAGACAATTAAAAAAAGGCGTAAAAAGACATAGCATTCATTTTGATCGGACCAAAATTCACTAAGTTATAGCTGGTGAACGTGAATTTTTTTCGAAATTTTGTGATTTCTTTGTAGTAATTTCAAACTTCGATAGCGACCCCTAAAAATTGTTTCAAAATTTTTCGATTTTCGTGAAAGTCCTTATTTTGTACATATGTACATACATTTGTAGAACAAAACATACAAAATTTAGATATTGATATTTTAGAAACCACCCTATTATATAATTTGCTCCACTATCGCTGATTTTTTTTTTTTTTGCTCGTGACTGCGCCGCCTACTTACCGCTTTCAGCGCATTCGCTATGAGTGAGGCCGTCTTCCTGTATGTCTTGGTCAGGTAGTGCGCGAATCGTTCATTTTCGGTTTCCTTTGAGCCAAGTTGCATGAATTCGCCTTGAACCAGATCGGTTAAAATCTAGAAGAAGGTTAACATAAATGCATTTAGTGAAAATGTGTAGATATATTTTTAATATTTTTCTGCAAGTGTGTGTACGTAAGTAATACTACGGGTAAGTATGTATTATGCTCGTATCACTGGGTGACCAAAGACAGAGTACTTCAACAGTAAAATCACTTGGCTGGTAGCTACATATGTACATAAGTACGTCAGACAAAGAGTAACTCTCTTTACGACTAGGTTTAGCCGGTTTTAAAAGAGATTGCGATGCTCAATGAGAAGAAAATTTCTAAGCAATGCAACAAGAAGAGGCGAAACTGTCGAAAGAGCCTTAGCCATAAAGAGCAGCCAGCAGGTGTATCCAGAGTCTATTTAGAAAAGTAGACCAGAATTCTTTGGGTCCAACAATATTTCCGATAGAGTGTTATCGTTCCTTAAATGGTTTTATTGGCCGACAATCTTCAGGTTCCTATGTCATTCCAAACCGAGTTATCAAACTTATCTCGATGGCGAGCACAGAAATCATCAGGCGATATATAGATAAAGCAGCGCTAAGTTATCCTATCCAACATAGAAATACCGGCAGGAAATCATTTTGCACATAACGGTCGAAAAAATATGTGAAAAAAACATTTCTTTTCCTGGCGCAGATATTAAATTTATAAAATAAAACACTTTTATTTTGCATCCGAAAAAAATTGTTATTATAAAATGGCGAAGATTTCAATAATCAGTCATCAAGATTACATTGAAAAACTCTAATTTCAGAAGATGACTGCTATGGCGCAACGTAGAAACAAAATTTAATTTGCAAAAATGGCAGTGGATTGTGCAACATACATGAATTTTTATGGAAAAAACGGGACGTCGAGTCAACTATAAACAAAGTTGTAACAGGAATGTTAAAAATACTTGTAAAATACTATTTAAAATACAAAATACGATTAAGTACAAAAAGTTTATGAAATAAAAATACAAAAATACAAAATTCAAATACGTACATATTTTCAAACACAAATATGTTTCAAAATACTCTTGAAATCATATGTATGTACATATATACACCCCGTGCCCGAAATATATGCGCACGCCATACATACTTACATATGTACATATCGTCCTTTAAAGTACAAAACCGCCTATCAGCAAAATGCAACAAAATGCGCTTTGCAAGGCATTACGTTTTTGGATCTTGGAATTTGAAAATGTCAATCAAATTAAAGACATTGTTGAAAAGGGAACCTATTTCGGATATGACGAATAATGAAGAGTGGAAAAAGTCTTTAAAATACAAATAAAAAATACACTTGCAAAAAAGTATTTAAATGAAAAATTTGTACTTTGTGTTTTAAATACTTGTATTTGAAATATTTAAAATCTCTAGTCTAGTACATCTTGGAATATCTTGTACACCAGTTTGAAAAAAGTCGTTTCGAGAAAAGTACAAAATAAATGAATAATTCACCGCCTTTCGGCGCTCTTCTACCACTCACATTTCTATCTGCCGCAACTTTTGAAGTACTCTGAATTTCGGAATGGCGAATTGGTAAAAATATCCTAACAGTATGTAGTATTTTTTTCATAGAAACAAGTTTTTTGTTTTTTTTTTATTTTTTCAGGGTGACGTAACCCTTTAAGTATAGTATATATTATAGCGTATAATTAACAACAGAACAGGAGTAGCGCTTGTGACATGGAAAAAACTATCAGCAATGCAGTTCAGTTTCCGGAAGGGTAGATTAATAGTGGGAGCGGCCGTGCTAAATAATTAAACGGTTGGCAGAAGAGTACTGTTCCCTGTATAAAATTGCCGTTATAAGAGTATGCTGTGCCTTCTGAACAACTTCAAAGAAGGCTGCGTTGATAATCGCAGGACACTGCTCCCCATTGATATAGTGGCAAGAAAAATAGTTGCAACTACAGTTAAGCAAGCGAAGGAAAGAGCAAAGCGAAAATGCTTGCAGCAGTGGAAAGACCGTTGGAGCCATCCAGCGCTGAAAATGACTGTTGCAAAGCATACGGCACAGAGCTACTTACGAGGTTCATCCTTCTGTACAGAACAAGTAATCGTTTTATTTTTTATATTTTTTTACTACAAACATATGTACATGTGTCCATGCATCAGTGGGAAAGTGGGTCAATGAGCATAAAAGCCACATTAAAATGGCTAATTAATTACATTATCGCTTACATGAAATTAAGCAATTAGCAAAGTAATTAAAACTATAACTTCATTACATGTTCTACAAAACAAAGTTCATAGCAATAACAAGGCAGCAAGTACATACTTATGTACGCATCTATTACAACGGCCAGATGAATAATGCAACACGCCATTTGCGAATAGGCGTGGCACGTAAGTCGATAGAAACTTAAATGAAAAGCTGCCTTGAATACAAGCATAAGTAAGCAGGGTTCGTATTTGCACACACATGCTCTGCTCACACACACGCCAGAAACACATTCAACTTGTACTCACTGCTCATACACATGTGTGTGCATAAGTGGAAAACAAACTCTGCTCACAGAAAAGTGTGTGCTGTTTGTTATTAAGCACATGCACATGTGTGTGAGCCGATTTTTGTACAAATTTCAGCCCATGCACATGCACATAATATATTTTTAAAAGAATTTGTTTATTAAACGTTATTTTTTGAAAGACAATTCAATAAAAAGTGAGATGTTATTTGTTTTTTATATGACAGAAAACATATTAAAAAATTATTTTAAGATTTGAGTTAGAATTCGAAGTGTATAAGTTTCTCTACGCATAGCACACACATGTGCGTGTGCTTTACATTAATAAAAAGAAAGTACACACATGTGCCCGTGCTGTTTACCAAACGGCACACACATGTGATGTGAGCAAATTTTTAATTTTTTATATGCACAGCACACGTGTGTGAGCTTAAAATGTTAGGATGTGCTGCACATGTGTGTGCAAATACGAACCCTGTAAGTAAGAGCTTACCCATGTCTTGTTAAGTACTTACAAGCATGCTAATTTGCACATATGTACATATGTAGGTGTGTAAGTACATAAATAAATGTTAATGTGCAATTTGTAACTACAATTAGAGTCACTTAGGCTGCAATCAATTTTTATTGAATTCACCTTGAAATCGAAAACGGTTCGAAGAAGAATCACTACGCACGCGAAAATACTTACAGACATATGCGAATTAATGTTAAAGTAGTAACTTATTGGTATTGGAGGTTCTACATGTACACACAAGAACAATTGAATAGGCTGAGTTGGGTTACTGCGACTGCCACGCTGCTAAACCAAAATCCTACGGTGGATACGGCCAAATGTCGAGTGCCCACAAGGTCACACACCCTGCCAAAAACCAGTGAACCAGTACTACTTAAAATCGTGAAATACGCCAAACAAGTCAAGTCTTATCATCCGATATCTCCCTCCTAAAATTTACGTGGTACCCTAAAACAAGCTCCTCATCCACATGATTTCCGCAAAGTCCACAGTATCACCACAGCACTTCCCTACTAGTCCTTTTAGCGATAAACTTATCGAAAACCTTGGACACCGTTTATTACTCAAGGCTGCTCTCCCCACGATACCGAAGCGGTGTACCACAAATTATCGAAGTTCTTGAGATCAAAACTTCGTATCTTGAAGCTACGTCAGCTACCAGCTGGGGTTTTAGTTATCTTATACACTTACGACTGCTTGCTATTGGAGCTCTGCGATGGCATTGATGAACTGTGTTTGAAATTAAATGGCTATTCCTTCCAACTTTCTTGACTCTACTCAGCAAGCAACTACAGCTGGGTTACTATTGTAAAAAGCAAACCAACAGTCACTTGCTCCAATCAGAGCCAACTCCTAGGCAAATCAGAAGGCATCTCTACGAACTGACGAGCGATCTCCAGCTCCATACAACTACTAACGTCGGTATATGCATCTATTTCGATGGCTACGTCTGTAAGTGGGTACATTCTTTCACTCACCCATTCGACTACGTTGTATGAACTATTTTGACTAAATCGTTTATACTTAAGTATGCAAGCGCTACTTTTCGAAACAGATTGAAAACTTAGAAATTCCGCTGTAAATTTTATGCGCCAAAGTTTGCCTTGCTTTAATAGAAGTTTTGATAACATAACAAGCTGATATGCCTTAGGCAAAACGTATGTATATGCGTACGAACCTATGTACGTATCTATATACATTAAGCCTACATACCAAAAATATATATGTGTGTGTGTGGATAAGTACCCGCATATAGAATTTCCATGCATGCTAGGATAAATGAAGCGTAAAATCTATTTGACGTTACTGATTCAAATAACAGCACACTTAACTATGTATTCAAGTTTCTCTTAAGTTTTTGCTGTCGAAATTTATATATTGTTTTAGACATTTTTATATTTATTTAGATCACTTTATTGAGATGCATATGCGTATTGTGATTAGAAAAGCGGCATTCACAAACATACAAATCAATTATTTATATAACATAGCTCTTGGAAATTTAATTTTCCAACTTTAAATTTATGTTTTTTATAAGTTTTATTTTCATGCAATTAATCACTTCCTTTATAAACAAATATGTAGATTATTTTGACATTTCGTTGCTCATGGAATCTATGTCATAAACAAATCACAAGCAGATCGCTGAGCATTTTTATTGAATTTAGATTAATAAATACTTGCATACCTTTGAGTAAAAACTCATGTACACACATAAATATGTACATACATATGTACATATGTATGAATGAACCGATTGCGCACTTTAAATCACTTGAAACGGCTCTTGCAAGTTAAACAGTAGCATTCTGAGCTTACGTGAGTTGCATGAAATTTACGAAAAAAAAAAAAATACTATTTAAAGACATCATAATTATCATTTTTCAAAGGAGTGGCAGTAGAACTCTAGCAATTAGCAAAGGTATATGTGTGCCGTTATGATTATGTTTGCATGCATTACAGATACCTAACACACAAAAAACTAATAAAAAAAAAAAAAATGATAAAAATGTCTAATATAGAG